AACAAATGTTCAATAAATCTGTGCAGTAATAATCTATGATCAGGTATAAAAGAGTCAATTACAAATGTACTCCAGTTTTACATAAGACATTGCTGAATGCAAGATCAATTGTTGTGCCATATATGTGGTGGCTTCTGAAATAAGCTGAGAAGATCTAAAAGTTGTTTCTAATGACTGTATCAATGTTCTATTTATAATGACCGTCCAAATTATTATGTGTGCAATTTAAGGGACCTGATATAAGCAGAATAATCATCGCATTTTTCATCAAAAATACCAGTTACTTAACTCACTTGTGCTATTACATATTCAAAGTATACTTTAAAGCTGTACATGTATTTTTACTTAACTATAAAATATACAAATTAGCAATTGTCTCTTATAAACTTTACGCTTTGACCTTTTGTTTTGAAATTTTCACAAATGATTGACAATGTGTTTATCTTCAAAACGCCGTAGGGGCATTGTTTTTGGTTGAACAGTGTTACAACAATCGTACAGACAACTAGCCTGGGTGTTAATTTATGCATAAACTTGAATTAGTGAAATTTGAGCTGCTGCCCAGGTAGACAGTTTTCAAGACGAAACTTTCTTCATAGTAAACAGATGTACCCGTAAACCAATTTTGACAGGAAACAGAGACATGGTTTAGAAGCGAATTTGTTTTAAATCACTTTTGACCAAAAAAAAAACATTTTTGTGCATATTTCAAACTACAATGTCCATAAAAAAAAATACTTACAAAATTTTAAAATTCATACAATAAGCTTTCTAAAAATATATAGTTATGTGGACAAGGGAGGTCATCTTGGTTGCCTAATTAACTAATTAAAATACCTGTCTGGTAAACTGCATCTCTACCTTAAATATCAATTGGCCCAAACCTAATAATCCCCTTATATAGCTACAATGGTATGTTAATGATTCGTAAACACAATCACTTTTCTATTTCAAAACAATATTCCTTCCATGAGAAATCTCAACCCAGGCATTTGGGATGTGGGATTCAATTAGTCTCAAAAATTGAATAATGCTGCCTAGCACAAAGGGATGGCTGGACAAATGTGAACAATAAGATACAATATTGTATTTATATATGCAATATTATGCAATATTCAAATGCTGCACCTTTCACAATATGAATGATTAAAATATTAAATAAATGAATTTTCAGGACAGCTGATTCCAAAACTGTGGTGCACACAATATATTAAGGCATGCCTGAAAAATGATATTCTTCACTTCATGATTTTAAATGGTGGAATTTGAACAAGGTGGAACTACATTTACAATTATCAGACATTAATCTTTCTTGAACTTCTAGAAAACTAACAATTGCTATGCAATCTTCAATTTCAATTAGTTCAAATTATATTGTATCTTTCTCCAAGCAACCCATAGAGGGCAGTGTGTATTTAAAAAACATTCACTGGTTTGAATTCCAGTGGATACTAAATAGAAATATTCATTAGGTTAAAAATTCACTTGTTTGAGAAAGGAAACTATACATTCTACTGTTAAATCATGGACCATTTTATTAGGTTCATACTGTCTATCAGCCATCCAAATCAGCTACTGGTAATAATTTAATCTGATTTATGTACATGCAGTGGTAAATTTGATAAAAATCATTAGCCACATTTTATTTATTATAAGTAATAGAGATGACATCTATTAGTAAAATAATTTGATTTTCAATAAACACAAATTAGAAACATACATTGATCATTATTGAGAACAAAATTGTAGCACCTGATGGTTACCAAAAGAAAGTTGTTGTAAAATACATTGCA